TTATATTTTGATGAAATATGATGAGGGTGTTGGTAGGTTCTTTACTTCATTATTTTGAAATGTTTAAATAAATATATACTACAAAAAAGAGTGAAATCCATAAAAAATTACCTTTTTAAAACAAGGTTAAAAAAGGCGCCAAGTCCATGCGTCTTGTAAAGAAGAGTTAAATAAAAAACAGTATTTTTAAATTACTGAAGAAAATAATATTGAAAAAATTACGCTAAATAAATAAAAATTTATACAAAAAATTAAAAATTAGAAACTTATACAAAAATTAAAAATACAAAAAAAATTTTAGTTAAAAAACATATAATATAATATAATATATATTTATCCAAAGGCAGTTTTGACAACGTTCTCAAGTATAACTAGGCAGTTTTGACGACTGTTGGCAGTTTTCGCGACCGTCGTCAAACATATCGCAGTACAAACGCAGTTTTAACGACTGTCGTCATATCTACCTTTATATAAATATTTATACTATATGCATAGTAAACCACGTAGAAAAACGTTTTGTATTATTGAAGTAACTATTATATATTTATAAGCAGTTTTATTTTGTTGTATAGTTGTTTTACGTATAATATACTGTACGTAAACATTTAATAATTGTACTATATTCTTTGGCGTTTAAAATTTCATGTCACGACAGTGAGATTTTACGTGCAAAAAAACACCATATATAATTATTAATTGCTTTAAACAGTACAACATGTAAAACACAGATATACATAATATAACAACATTTAAATATGAAAATATTTTAACCAAGCATTTTTCTACATTGTTTACTGAATGTATATATATATATATATATATATAGGCATACAGCCATATAAAGGTAGATTTGACGACTGTCGTTAAAACTGCCTTTATATCGCGGTGCCTTTGACGACGGTCGTGAAAACTGCCAATAGTCGTCAAAACTGCCAAATTATACTTCAAAATGTCGTCAAAACTGCCTTTAGACATATATATATACTATATGCATAGTAAACAACGTAGAAAAACGTTTTGTTGAAATAACTATTATTTATAAGCAGTTTTATTTTGTTGTATAGTTGTTTTACGTATAATATACTGTACGTAAACATTTAATAACTGTACTATATTCTTTGGCGCTTAAAATTTCATGCCACGGCAGTGAGATTTTACGTGCAAAAAAACACCATATATAATTATTAATTGCTTTAAACAGTACAATATGTAAAACACAGATATACATAATATAACAACATTTAAATATGAAAATATTTTAACCAAGCATTTTTCTACATTGTTTACTGAATGTATATATATATATATATATAGGCATACAGCCATATAAAGGTAGATTTGACGACTGTCGTGAAAACTGCCAATAGTCGTCAAAACTGCCAAATTACACTTCAAAATGTCGTCAAAACTGCCCTTAGATATATATATATATTATATTATATTATACATATATACACATGTATACATATTATATACATATACAATATATACTCTGCACAAATTACAGGAATGTGAACATTACATCTGTTACTACAATATATGTAATAAGACAATTAAATCGGATTTATATTATACCAACTAATGTCCTATGTAGGAAAAATTAAATCAGACTTATATGCGAAATAGTAGTATAAAGAAAAATTCACAATAGAGAATTTTTAGTATATAAGCAAAATTTAATATTTTTACTTAATTTGATTGTTTTACGTGACAGAAAAATTTTTAATTTCTTTATGCATTGGATATTTTCACATATTAGTTTATGATATATGTATATAATTTTTATTTTTTTTTAAGTAACTATTTTATTATAAAGAATCTGAAGTTAATTAATTAAACTATAATAATTTAATAATTTTTGTTAAATATATAATTAGGAAAATGTGTCTTAAATTATTAACATATTCCAGTGTATGTTGAAACTTGCGACTCAAAACACCATAGGAAAAAGGTTTTTGTAAAATTAAAAAATAAAAGTATTTACAATTATACTTTACAACGAATTTGTGCAGTAGTTTTTGAGATGTAAGGATTTAGATGTTTTTAAGGAAAGTAGTAATTTTTGAGATATAAAGATTTAAAATTTTTTAAGGACCCAATTATAGGCTACGTTCATATACGTCCTGTTTTTGAATTATACGTATATGCGATACTAATTTAGTATTGCATGTTCTATTCACTAATGGGCGATTAGATTGCTTGGAATAAAAAATATCATATTTATTATTATTTCTTAATTTATTGAGAACATTTCTAGTATTATATTGAGTAATAATCTTTTTAATTTAATTCTGAATGGTATACATATAAATCACATTATATAACATATATAATCACAAATACGCATAACGTTTATAGTTAATAATGCACTGAATATATTGCTTTATATGTATTTTATAATTACCGAGATCTTAATTTCTATATAAGTTCTTTATTTTAATGAATACATGTCTTAATATTAAATCAATCTTTATCTTTTTTAGAGAATTCTTGTGATACATCTTAGATTTATATCTAAGCAAAATATAACAAAATTTATAGTAATTTTCTTCTTGAATATAATAAAATGTATCTAAGCAAAACAAAACTCAAATATAGTAATTCTCTTCCTGAATATAAAAAATTAAAGAAACAAAACGAAACATCCAATCCAATATATTTATATAATTACTGAAATCTTAATTTCTATATAATTTCTTTCTTTTAAATAATACATATGTCTTAATATGAATCTACTCTTCATCATTTTCAAAGAATTTTTGTAATATATTTTAAATTTGTATCTAAGTAAAATATATCAGAACTTAAATATAGTAATTTTCTTCTTCAATATAATAAAATAAAAAAAAACAAAACATTCAATATTGTTTTGTCTTTTTGTATTGAACGTATAAAATTTTTAGAATAGTTATACTTTTAAATATATATAATAATACCTTTAAAATAATTAACTTTTTGTTTTTATTTGATTACTAATCCAAGATTTTATTTGAGCGTTTGTGCGGTTTTTCAATATAGGATACTTGACTTTTATTTCATTTATTTGACTAAAAGATGGCAATTTATTATTTTTTATATTGACTGAAAATGAGGATAAGACCGCTTCGCGTTCATTATCAGTCCATCGGATTTTATTAGCTTGTCTTCTTTTAGGACCAAAAGGAGATACTGAAATATGAAGATTATGTTAGTAAATTTGCTTATAAGTACTAATATACTTATAAGCAAATTTTATATACAATTATATCAAGAATAAATTATACCAATGTATTATATATAAACATTATTTAAACATACTTCTCTTCTTTCTTTTTTCTGTACTACTATTTATACTATCTTTCCTGCTAAGCATTTCTCCGGTTTTTTTAATATTCTTGTAGATTGATTACTTGAACTATTTTTACTTAAATCTGTATATTCATCGTCATCTTCATATTCATCGTTAGATTCTATCACATTTTTATTATCATAAACTGTTTCCTTTTTTGATTTTTTTTTAATTTTCTTTGTAGAATCGAAGGAATGCACTATAAAATATCAATATTATAACATATGCCTATATCCAATGCTTTTTATGTTAATTATAGATACCATATTATTATTTATCTCTTACCATTTGGTATTCAGACTTCGCAACACACACTTGAAATATCGGGGAAAAGGACTTGTTAAAACGATAATCATGCTCAAATGTCGCATAACTTGGCATCTCAGACCAATCGCCTTGCATATCTATTGGTCAACAGCGAAGAATCGTTTCAATTTTATATTTTAATATTTAACTAACTTTGTATTTTTAACATTTAACTTTGTATTTTAATATTTAACTTTTATGTATTGATAAAGACTGTAGTGCAGTCGAAACGTTTACAATTTATATCGATTCTGTAACGGAATGTTAATTTAATTATTTAACTATTAATAAAAATTTTTACACCTTATTTATTTGCTCGTTCAGTTGGCCTACTATATATGATTTGTTTAATTTTGTTAAATTATACGAGCCTTTCATTAATTAATTATTTATCTCATTATATACTTGTATTAATAAGCAGTATAAATATATTTCAAAGGTTATATATATGTATACATACATTTGGAATCTGTATTAAATGTAAATATATATTTAAACATACCTTTTCTCTTCTTTTTTTCTAATATATTATTCATTTGATCGCCATTTCTAAATTGTTGAAATTTTTTTATATTTTTTGATATAGGTAACGTATTAGTAGTTTTTAAACATATATTTGTGTTAAGTTCATTATCTGATTCTATGTTATCATCTTCTTGACTTTCATTGCTTTCATCGGATGTCTCTTCTCCTTGAGCGTATTTTAACAATCGTGATATAGCCAAATCTTTTGTGATAACAGATTGCCTATAATGTGATCTATGTATTTTTTCATGATGGCCCATGAAGTTTGCCAAATCACTAACTTGATTATCAGATACATCTAATGTAATGCACATTGTAGCAATGTGTTTTCGTAATGTTGTACCTCGTAGAGAAGTTGGTATCTCTGCTCCAGAGGCTACAGAAAATTTGCGCATTAGGACACATGCTCTTAAATATTTGTGTCTTCTTTTATCAGTTGAGTTTATACCAAACACATAAGGATTTTCTACGGGAACACTAGCTTGTTTACGATACTTGACGATCATTTGTATACATGACAATAATTCCTCATGAAGTAAAACGGGAACTGTTCTTGCTAATTTTCCACGTATTGTTACACGCACATATTTCGATAAGGATTTTTGTAACTCAGGTGCTTCGTCTTTTGAAATTGCCGCAGGATTTTTTAAATCTTCTATTAAAATGCGTTCTAATTCGCCAGCACGTCTTCTATTGAACATCATGGTAGACACTAATGTCGTTTCAGCTAGTCTTCGCCACGTTTGAATTGAAAATCCATCGTTTTGTAATAATTTTAGAGCATTCGTACGTTCATCTTTCAAATAAGAATTCAATATTTTAATATCATCTATAGACGGTAAAACTATGTTTCTTTGTCTCATTCGACGCCTTGAGTTTCATGTACAACTTTGTTTACGCTGATAGGATAATCTTCTTCAAATAATTTTAAAAAATTTTCTACTATAACTTGATTCTCGAGTTCTTGTCTTTTTATGCATATGCTCCTTAAAATTTGTCCAACTTGCTTTATGAGAGTTCCTAACGATGATGCTACAGAAGATACCTTGTATGTCCATGTTGTTTCATCAAATTGTGCAAGATTATTAACAGCTTTCACACAATAATCATATCTCTTTGGATTATATATTGAAGTAAAATCTACCACAGTATTATCAATTTCCTTCATAGTAGCCAGAAATCGTCCTAGTAGTCTTAATCGTGCTCTAATCATGTCATGTTGGTGTTGAAGACGATACTTTAGACACATTTTATTTCCATAAGCAATTAATAACTCATCATATCTAATAAGCTGAGTTATAGTATCTTCTCTCGTCACTGGAAATACTAGTCTTTTTAATACTGTACTTGCACTATAATGTATACGGCAAGCTACTGTGCGTCCTAATACTTTTACATTTCTTTGACGAGACTCAGTCTTTTGTGTACATAACTTAAAATGATGTCGAATGTTATTCTTAGAAAAGTATCCTTTACATTTTGCACATGGAATAAAATCGACCGCTTGCTTGTTTAATTTTTTTGCCGGACGACGACATACAATTAAATTTCCTTTATTAACGTTAGGATCTGTATTATATACAAAATTTCCTGTTCGTCTAATTATAGCAATAATTTTTTTCCGTTCTGGGTTACCTAAAATTTGTAAAAAAATAAAAATGATAAAATTTAGGAAATTGCAAAGGGCTTCAATAGTAAATATAAAAGTAACAGATTGAGGGCCAATTGAAGCTAAGAAACGCAACGTAATAAGCGTCGAAATTCTAGCATTTCTAGAAATTTCGACGCTTATTCTTACGTTTCCTAGCTCCGATTAGTCCTTAATCTACTACTTTGATAAAATTTAGATTATTAAAAATGATAAAATTTAGATATTAAAAATATATAATTATTTACCTTTAGGTAAGAAACAAAACTTTTTTACATCTTCTTCAGTATTGTGTATTGATTCTAAATGCCTTGCAAATTGTGATTGCAATTTTTTACAGTATGGACACATACTCAACTTTAATTTGCGATTATCAGATGTTTCAACGTACATATCTTTATCGTCACATATATTTACTTTAGATAAATTTAATGAACTTGTTAAATTTAATTTACTTTTATTTAATTTACTTTTATTTATACTTGTATGATTTGTATTATCGCTAAGTTCATCTTCATCTGAATCTTCTGATACAGAACAATCTGATGTGTGGAAACTGTCATCCATATTACGCTCAGATGTAAGAGAATTATCAGACTCAATATTAGCATTAGTACTCATACATTCTGATGTTGATTTTTCTTTTGTTAATGTAGATTCTGCAAGTGGAGCAAAATCTACCAACATAGTATTTAAACTGTTATTATCCATGACGCAAGTCTTATTTAAAATATTTCCTTCGTCAATAATTTTATAAGTATTATTAAATTCTACATTGGATATAATTTTTATAGTCTTAATCTTATCGATTGCCTTTATATTTGCATCACAAAGCGTTATATTAATATCATTTTTATCACTTATGTTGCATATCTTAATATCACAGGCATTTTTGTCATATACAATATCATTTCTATCAGTTATATTGCATTGCTCAATATCACAGGCGTTTTTGTCATATAAAATATCATTTCTATCACATATGTTGCATTGTTCAATATCGTTTTTGTCATATAATGAACAAATATCATCTATATTCGAATTTATATTTGATGCATTAACATTTAATGTAGTATCAATGGGTAATACAGCAGCATTAATTAATGATGAATCTAGAAATAAAAATAAAAATAAGATTTTCAAAACTTAATGTACCAATAACTATTGCTTCCAATTGATATTTTTACTTTATTTAGATACTACATCTTTGAATTTTTTTTATATTCATTTTTGATAAAAATTTATAGAGTATGTATATTTTTATTGTAAATATAAGTAATATGCAAAATATATTTAAAATGTTGTTTTAAATAGTATATAGTCATATTCAGTATACATATGCTGAAATCTTACCATTTATTATGTTGTTAGTATTAAGTAATTTATTGCAATTTTTGTCAATAGTAGAAATATCTTTAGGTAAATGCGCAAGGTCTTTAATTTTATTTGCATCGCAAGATCTTATATTATCATTTTTATCATCCATGCTGCATTGCTCCATATCAAAAAACGTGCAAACATTTTCTATATTCGAATTTACATTTAATGTATCAATGTTTAATATTGTATTAATATCTAATATAGCATCAGTATCAATGAATGATGAATCTGAAAAGAAAAATGTATAATTAAAAAAAAAGACTAATGCAGATATTGGTATCAATTGTATATAATTTACTTTTATTTATAAATAAAATGCCAAATATTTCAACTCTGTGCAATTCACACACAGATCCATAAAATCAATATCTCATATAACTAAGTTATTAATAACAAAGAGCACAATAGAGAATTAATACTAAAAGCAGTTACGTAATAATTAAGTCTATGCAATATGCAAATTAGAAAGCTAAAAAAAGATTGTAATATCAAACTAATAACTTGTAAAATGAAACGACTAAGAGCTGATTTTTCTTGCTTGAATACCTGCACATGTTGACTTTGTTTGCTCTCTTTATTAGTTTTAAAATAGTTCATCTTTATTAATTTTAAAATAATTAACCTTTTTAGTTATTATATATTTTTACAGCCATTTTATATCTGCTATTGCATAAATCATTGCTGATTTGATTTTATGACACCTTTTTATATCTCTGACATGCTGTATCCACTGCAACTTTAATATTTGTACATTTAATCTGCTTTATGATATTTGTGTATTTTAGTTTCTTGTACTGCTATTGATAAAGAAAAGAATCAGAATTGAATCAAAACGTTTGGCGTTTTGGTTATAAATAAATAAATTCTTCAAAATCATACACCAACATTTAAAAATATCTATTCTTTTCACAATTAAGATTCCATATCCTTAACCCCTTTATCTGTTTTTGATAACAATTTATTATTTATTCTGATAACAATTTATTAAAAGTACGTACATAATACTCATTTTGTAAATATTTTATAAAAAGTAATGCGTACAATTATCATAAAAAAGAAAATGTCTAATAAATATACATTGAATGTATTTAAAATGTCTTACATATACAATTAGATATATGCAGAAATCTTACCATTCATTATATTGATATTATTAGTTAATTCATTAGAATTTTTATTGGTAATAGGATTATCGTTATGCAAATATGCACGATCTTTAATTTCATTATTCGCACTTGCATCATCACAAAGCATTGTATTATTCACTTTTATCACACACGTTGCATTATATATCACAGTTTTTATCAACTAATGTACAAATATTTTTTGTATTCATATCCAATGTATTCATATCCGATGTATTAATATTTAATGTGGCATTTGTATCTGCAGTTAATAATGCATTTGAAAAATAATTAAATAAGTTAAAAAATATGTATATAAAATATTGTATCGCAAACATAATTTATAGAAAAACAAAATTTACTAGATTATTTTTATTAATTTTTAATTTAGTTTTGTAATTTATAAAAAATAAATATAACTATAATTTAAAAAATATTTACATAATTGCACAATACATATTATGTATACAAATAGATTAAACATATCAAAGACTTACCATTTATCATGTTATCATTAGCTATTTTATTATTAACTACTTTATTGGGACTGCCATCACTAGAGAGAGTAGGAACATTTTTAGACGAAAATGTAGGATTTTTATCATTGCTGTGTGTTATATCAAACAGCGGTAAACTGTTACCAATTTTGTCACTTTTAGTGCATTGTTCAATATTATTGGAATCATTCGATGATGCGCAAATATCTTCACTCTTATTCGAATTTGGCATATTTGATATATCATTTGATGTGTTATTAGTATCAGAAGTTAGCGATACATCTAAGAAATGAAATTTGAATAATATTTTATTGTACATATATTAAATAAGTATAATTTTGAATAAATTTTTTAAATTAATATATATGTATATATATAAATAATGCATATATTCTAACATTACCTGATGAAATATTTAATAATTCTATAGCTGGAATTGCTTTATTCAAATTGTCTGCAATTTCTTGTAAAACAGATTTATTTGCTGAAATTTATACATAAAAAAGAAAATAAAAAATGGACACATTATACACATATATTGCTATGCAATATTATTGCATAGATATTTTTCAATATTATTTTTGCATAAATAATATTACAATATATCTGTAGAATGACAGTGAATAACATACATGTGTATAAATATATTTAAAAATAAATATAATTTTATAAAATTTTAGATACCACAATACTGTACATAAATATTGCAAAATAAAAAAAATCTGTTTATAAAAATGTACACAAATGTATATAAAAAATGCAAAAGATATGCAAGACAATATCAAATCATATTCTCTGAATAATTTTTTTATAATTCTGGAAAGGGTTATTATAGATATTATATATTAATACATATACTCACTATGAACTGCGATAATGTGAGATTTTTTTACTTTTTTCTTTTTTGAACACACAGTATAACGTCCTTTAGCAAATATTAATATAAACATTTTGTGTGTGTGTATAAACAACTGCAACAAATGCAAATATGCGCAGAAACAAAATCGAGAATATAATATTTATTCCGTCATCGAGCCATCCGTATGGTTAGGTTATGAGGTTAACATATTATTTTATTTTTAACCTAATGATATATCACAAAAAGAGTGTGAATGCGAATATCAAAAGATAATGGCTATACACTTACATAATCATAATCAATTATACACTTACATAAAAATACGATCTATTAATATAAAATAACTCGATTGCAATATATGTATTGCTCATCTACATGATGATATTGATGTTCTAAACGAGTTTGCGGAAATCGTATATAGACGATATAGACTAGACATGCGGAAAAGCTGCACGCTCATTGGATATCGCGCATCGCGTGTCGCGTCATCGCGCTGGTGTGCAGGAGCCATTATGATTTACGACTCTATTGTAGACTAAGCTTTAAATTAATCTTTTGTAAGGAAAAGCATTGAAATAAATATTAAAGCTTTGAATGGTAATATAAATATTTTTACTCCTCTCTATATATATTTATAATAGAAAAAAAAATATTACTATTTTTTAAATTAAATGCAGCTACATGCATATTTAAAAAAGTGCATATGATCATTAAGAATGCCTTTATATATACCGCGATGTCTTTGACGACAGTCGTGAAAACTGCCAATAGTCGTCAAAACTGCCAACTTATACTTCAAGATGTCGTCAAAACTACCTTTAGACAAATATATATATATTGTACAATATATTATATATATGTGGGTGTATATACAGGGTGTCCCAGACCTACCGTATCACACGTTAATAGGAGATTCCTGAGGCGATTTGGAAACGATTTTTCCTCAGCGAAAATGTCCAGGCACTAATAATTTTTGTGTTATAAACGATTGAAAATAGAAGATTTTTTGTAAATTAAAAAATAAATGTAAAAAATAAATTATTAACAAAACTACATTTTTTAGTTAATTTTAGGTAAAGTTTACTTTAATAGAATTTTAATTTAAAGCTTATTGTTAGTTACAAAGATACATGATTTCAAAAGTTGGGAACAATAAAAAAATGATGACCTTTCTCGATATTTTCGCTGAGGAAAAATCATTTAGTAACGTAACAAATTCTTAAATATGTAAATGTAATAAGATGCATTATAATTAAAAACGAATAACTTTTGTTGTATATTTATAGTTTTTAATGCAAGAGTATGTATATATGCAACAAGCCTTAAAATTTTTAATCAATCTTTTTTACTTATAGCGCAATCATTACTAGAAATAATGCTATGTTGAATCTATGCGACACAATATCTGTACTGGGTATGACTAGTGCAATTACAGTATATAATATTTTCAAATGGTCATTCGATGATCTTTTTATTACAGGTCACAAGATTCTATCAGTGGATACAATAATATTAAGTTCTCCCTTAAAAGATTCTCATGTTTTGTAATGGATTCTTCCCTAACATTTGATGTAAACTGGATATATGACTTGCAAATTAGTATCCATCAAGTTCTTTGGGCTGTTTAAAATAAAAAAACAAAATTAATAGAGAATGTGACATTTAAACCTTGTTTCTACAGCAAACTTATCAGTATAATTGTCATCGTCACACTTCAGTCTTTCCTTAGATTGAAAGGACAAAAAGGTAAGGAGACATGATATTTAAAAATATTATATCATACTCTAGTTACACTCTAGTCATATTCAGCACTGGTAAATATACGCATGCATAGATTTAACATTGCATTATTCCTAGGGTAACGGATGCACTGTAAGTAAAAAAGATTGATTAATGATTTGAAAAAACTTTTTAGGCTTGTCGCACATACTCTTGTATTAAAAACTAAATAAACATTAAAAAATATTCGTTCCTAATTATAATGTATATCTTATGACATAAACATTTAAGAATTTGTTACATTATTAAATGTGCACATTCTTTTATAACAAAAAATATTTACCCAATGCTATTGCGAAATGAAGAAAAGACCAAAATCTCGTAAACTTTTAAATATGTTTAGAACTAAATATCTCTAATAAGATATTAAATTAATGATATATGTAAAATTAAGCTTCCTGTCATATGTGCAGAGTATACATATATGTATACATATAATATAATATAATATATATTTATCCAAAGGCAGTTTTGACAACGTTCTCAAGTATAACTAGGCAGTTTTGACGACTGTTGGCAGTTTTCGCGACCGTCGTCAAACATATCGCAGTACAAACGCAGTTTTAACGACTGTCGTCATATCTACCTTTATATAAATATTTATACTATATGCATAGTAAACCACGTAGAAGAACGTTTTGTATTATTGAAGTAACTATTATATATTTATAAGCAGTTTTATTTTGTTGTATAGTTGTTTTACGTATAATATACTGTACGTAAACATTTAATAACTGTACTATATTCTTTGGCGCTTAAAATTTCATGCCACGGCAGTGAGATTTTACGTGCAAAAAAACACCATATATAATTATTAATTGCTTTAAACAGTACAGCATGTAAAACACAGATATACATAATATAACAACATTTAAATATGAAAATATTTTAACCAAGCATTTTTCTACATTGTTTACTGAATGTATATATATATATATATACATACAGCCATATAAAGGTAGATTTGACGACTGTCGTTAAAACTGCCTTTATATCGCGGTGCCTTTGACGACGGTCGTGAAAACTGCCAATAGTCGTCAAAACTGCCAAATTATACTGCAAAATGTCGTCAAAACTGCCTTTAGACATATATATATATATATATATATATATATGTATATATATAATTATTTTTTATAAATTACAAGTTATATAAAATGGACATCCTATTTAAATATATATCCTATATATATATATATAATATTATATATATATATATATAGGATATATATTTAAATAGGATGTCCCATTTTATATAACTTGTAATTTTATAAAAAATAATTATATATACACATTGTTACACATCATCTTATACGCATATATTTGCGTATAATGTCGATGATAAGAATATAAATATAAATGTGTTTTTTTTTACTTTATTTGAACACAATTTATTGTTCACTTTGACATACATAATATGTATATGTGTTTCTATATTTATATTTATATGATGAAAAGGTACAAGTGTCTGTACAATTTCTTTTAGACACTAAAAAACATGATATAAAATGTACTTCTAATTTAATTTTTTGTTGCTCTCTTATTTACACCTTTTAGTATAAAGCTTTTTCACCACGACAAGGTAGGTGTAAATCGAGAAAGAATTTTTGTTTCATTTTACAGGGAGAAGAGACAAGTGCTGATATTTATAGCAATATTGACATTTATGTATTATTTGCAAAATCGATATAATTTCGATATATACAAAAACATGCACCTCTTTATGTATATATCGTTAGATATAAATACATAAAATTTGTGTTATATTTATTTGAGGAATTTTTTCCTAAAGATTCTTTTTTTAGAATTTTGGAAAAGGCGACAGTTTATTTTCTTCGATAATGTAAAGAAAATGTTGCCTCATATTATCAATACGATTCGAATATGTCATATTACAAGGATTTTCTCCTAAAGCTATAGTTGTAGCGAAAGCTGCAGCATAAATTCCACAACATGTGCCATCAGGTTGTTTTTGAACCTTTTCAAATATAATATCATTTGCACTTATTTGTGGATAACGACGATGAATGTAATTTTTTTCTTTAGGCACCAATTTATTGTATGTACAATCGGGTAGACTGTCATACACTCGAAGCTTGGTGCCGTCAAAAAATATACATCGCCAATGATTACTGCAATTTCCTCCAATAATTTGTAAGCTTTTGTTGCTACGACTTGCTTCAATTAAATGAGAATACTCTAAATATAACACACTTTGTGTTTCAAAAGGACATGTATTTTTTACGACGCGCAAGAATTTGTCCAATAAATCGTCGTTTATTAGACTATCCACAGGTAATACATTTTTCTCTATTTCACTATCAGATATAGGACGATTATCGAGAAAATTTTTTTGTCGTGCCATATCGTTTTCAGTTAGTTCTTTATTTTGTGAGTAACTATTTACAATAGCGCAATCGTCATCTTGTTCCGCACTTATAACAGTAACAGGAGTGACAGTTGCTTTCATAGATAAACTATTATATTCGCAACATTGACTTTCTTTGATAATATTTTTGTTTTCTGTATTACATTGTCGACAACTATTTAATTTTTTTACTCCTTTTTGAGCTTCTATTATATAATCTGGATTTCTAATAGGCATATGTCTATTATGCCGACTATCCAAGATTTCTGGCAGCATGCAATTATAATAGAAATTTGTTAAAAAGGGTAGCATTTTATTACTCCAAAAATCATTATCCTTTATAACACGTATTATTTTTAAGCTTTTTGGCGTCCACATAGTAAAAACACAATATTCTCGCCGCGTTATATTTAACTGGCCTTGAATTTGATAGAAATATTTATGATTTTTATTCATTTGTTCTGAATTTTTCTTATCAAAGATGTTCTTTAGTGGAGTCATCTTTATAGCTTCTTCAGCTGTTAAGTTCTTAGCTGAGTGCGGACATTTTATTTCTACCAGACCATCTTCATCTATAAGTCCATCTGGAGAAGCACCCAAGTATGGATGTTCAATATCAATGAATAATCCACAAGGTTTAATCTCTTTTTTTAGTATTTCGGCTAATTCTTTTCTCGCAATTGGTTCTTTTTCGCGACCATATTTCATTGCCTCGGTTTCAATAGCAGAAGGATATAAAATATTTTTCACAGGCAATGCGCAAGACGTTTTCATTCTTTTACAACATACGGTTCCAAAATTAGATGCCGTTAACATTTTACGTCTCAATTGTAGCCATTGTTGTGATTCATTTTGTTTTGTAGTGTCGCGTTCAATTTTTTGCCAATTTTTTGCATTTTCGGACAATTTTTTAAAATGATTTTGTCGAAATTGCTCGATTACATCGGACGGTAGATCCGGTTTTTGCGAGTGTGGACCATAATAAGAGTCTGTTCCCGATTCTTGTTTGAATTTTTTTGATCTTCCTTCTATTTGTCGATACTCTTTATTTTTCTCTAATTTTTCTCTTCGGCGCTTCTCCAACTTCTCGACAATAGGCGGAACAGTCTTATTCATGCTTTTATGTACTTCTGTAATTACTTGTTGCGTATTAAATTGCAAAACTGCCCCCGCAACTCTAGCATTGTAACCACCTTTTTTATTAACAAGAATACGTTTGCCGCCAATTTGTGCGCAGATCGACGAATTAAATGACTCTGTAATGTTATTCGTATAATTTAACAATAAGCTGTCAGAGTAACCACTTATATACTCGACAGCTTCTTCTATTTCTAAATAGAGACCATGTGATTTTAAAGAATCTATATAATTTTCTTCTCCATCGCAAGTCTCTTTGCCACGTTCTTTGCATTGCTTGTGATCGCCAAAAACATGC